TCGGGCTAATGCTACGTTTACATTATGTTCCCGGCAGCCACGGCAGTCCCGTTTGACCGAAACGTAGTGCGCCGTGGGATTTTTACATTTAATTTTTCACGTTCTGTCAAGGCTTTCCACGGATGAAACGTGGACACCGGGCAGCTTTGGAGGTTTGTGCCCAAGAAGGCCTCCCAAGCAAAAGCAATCATTATATCCTGAGACGAATCGACGAGATAACATCATGAATTCCCAAGATGAAGAAAATTTTGTGTACGAAACGTAGTGCGCCGTGGGATTTTGGCTTTTATGTAATTCCTCCCAGACCGCGCGCGCGCGCGCCGTGTCAGACAGTAGTAGAACGCAACGCGCCGGGCCCGCAAACCGTCACACACCGGGACGCGCCGGATTGAACGCGACGAAACAGCTACCATACACTATAGCTTGCCGTGAGAACAGTGACAAAACGTGGCAAAACGGGACGAAACGCGCAGCAACCGTGAACCAACCGTGACAGAACGCGCACTTAACGCGATATAACTTGACAAAACTTGACAAAACTTGAAAGGACCGTGAGATGCCGGGACATACGTACAAGTTATATTACGGCCTATTACGTACTGTCACGTTTTGTTGCGTTCACCCGGTTTTACTACGGTCTACTAGGTTTCTCACCGCACCGTGACTGTCATGGCAAATTTTTTGACAGTTACAAAATCTGGCCCGGCAACCGCGACAATCACGGCCTGTCACGTTGGCCCATCTCGTACCCCCGCGTTATCTCACGTCCATCCCGTTTTGTCCACGTTGGCCTGAAACGTGATTGCCGGGGCCACCGGGAACATAATGTAAACGTAGCATTTTTTTAATTTTTTAATTTATTTTTATTATATTTTCAAAGTTTTATGACATAAACATATAAATATACATACAATGTACATGGGCGTCTATAATCGCCTTTAAATAATGTACATATTGTTCAAAATATTCTATCAAGTATCAGTATTCGTCTTACATATATATTAACAAATAAGTATAAATTCACATTTTGATATCAAAAATAAACTTCCGGATATTCTTGTCCGTACTCTATTCTAATTCAAATTGAATTATAACCAGTGTCTAATTTCCGGTTAGAGTCACGATGGTGAACAGACTTGGCACAAACGTTATTATATGGTAAATGTTCATGAAATGCTTCGTATGGTATAACATCATCCAATTCAGCGAATAAAAGTGCCATGTTAGCGTTAAAGTTCTAGATTATGTGTTGATAATAGTCAGGGTATAATATATTATGTAACATTAAGTAAAGAAATTGGTCTCCAGGTTTTGAGATAACGCCTATCCGTTTGGCTTTGGAAATGCAGGTAATGATTTATGTGAGTTTAAAAAGTCCTATATGATCGGCAAAAGCAGCGACTTTTTCTTTTTTGCAACAACTTTGCCAAACTGCAGACAGTACTGAACATGATGGTCTCATCTCCCTAGGGTCTGATATGGCCAAATTGGATCTCCCTGAAGTTCTCATGCTCAGAACATGAAGTTATACTTACCCAATAGCCTGAAAATTCACTATTTTAATCTAAAGCTGATTTTCTTATAATGCTGCTGCTAAGTTGTAGGTGATCATGTTGATACCAAATATGTACTTATTTGCTAGGATCTGTGAACTGGAGTCCAAAATGAGCTCAAATCAGCACTTGACATAATATCACCTCCCTCGTATTTGTGCTGCTTATGAATTATGCTTCATATATTCTTTGTATAATTAAAATATTTCAAAAATTCATAAACCGTTAAGCCAAGGTCACACTGTGCCGGTATGTAGCCCCGGTGAGTTACGGTGTGGAAAACGGGGACAACCCTGGGTATCCGTAGATAGTCCGTATTGAAGACGGCGTAATCCGTGTTCATCCGAGTTGATCCTGGGTGATCAATAGCTCGCTACGGTTAGTTTTAAATTGTCAAAACCTTCGAGGTCATCCGTAGTAGAGCCGCGGTATTTTGAAGACCATAGTGTCATCGTAGTACCGTCCGCCTTTCCGTAGGACCGCTGTGCAAGCTTCCGTGGCCATCCGGGGGAGACCGTGGTGTTCGGGAGTCATACCGACTCACGCGTACGGCAGTGTCATCACGACCACCGCCGACTCTGGTACCGTGCACTGTGGTCTATCACGGTTCGTACCGTTTCTACTACGATTTCATTATGGTGACACTACGACGTTTCACGGTTGCTCCAGGATTTCCGATGGTGACACAGTTACACTACGTCTATATTACGGTGGTGCTACGTTTGCTGTTCGGCGGTGACGGCAGGAATAAGATTGGTCACGGTTCCGGGTCATGTTGCTATAAATATGGGACACGATCTGCTCCAACTCACATGGAACTTCAGTCCTGGAAAGGGTCACAACATAGGACTTAGTCATCAACAATCAAAAAAACAAACTTCATCTTATTAACTGGCTTCTAGAATGGAACATGCAGCAAGTTTGCAAAATACATGGTGATGGTCCAGTTATTCAGCAACGAAGAACAATAAGGGGCAGACTTTTAAACTGTCCAAAATTAGGCGGATGTGCGGAAGAGAAACAAAGTAGGCCGTAGTAAAACGGGATGAACGCAACAAAACGTGACAGTACTTAATAGGCCGTAACAAAACTTGGAGGCGGTCCGTAGTGGAGCGGGAAGCATGTGTATTCCCCGGCATTTCACGGTCCTTTCAAGTCACATGATACGGAAGGCCTTCTTTTTATACCGCGGGCACAAACGTGCTCCAAAGCTGTCCAGCGTCCACGTTTCATCAGTAGAAAGCCTTAACAGAACGAGAGAAACGCGTCATACCTTGATCAGAACGCGAGAAACGTGAGGACCCCATCAGAGCTTGACGGGCCGGGAGGGAACGCACCGGATACCGTGATAGACTGCGAGAAAACTTGAATATAGAGAAAAATTGCCAAAATCCAACAGCGAACTAAGTTTCAGGCAAATGGGGCTGCCATAACTGCCAAGAACATAAAGCAAACCAAGCATTATAATGATTAATTGATTGATTGATTGATTGACTGGTTTTACGTCCACTTCACCACCGAGTAGCTCGGTTATCCAGCAGACTTCAACATTATGCCCCGGTCACACATTCTCGGATCGGACACCGGATTAGCCACGGATACGATCCAGCATTATTCGTGGCATTCTGTAGTGGTCCGTAGCTGTCCGTATCTTATCCTGGGTCAATCGTAGTAGTACTTGTCTGTCCGTGACATTTTTTGAACATGTTCAAAAATTCACCACGGAACAGACAACCGTAGTACTGATCTGTAGTAGAACGTAATAAACCGTAATTATCTGTACTTATTGGTAGTACATCCCCGGCCTCAAGTCGCCAAGGATCGGTACGGTTAGTTACGTCGAACTACGAACTTTTACTAAGTTTCTAATAAACCGTACTAAAATTAAGATTAAGTTGTGGAATGAACACGCGAGCGCGAGAGTTTGTATACGGATTGTTTACCGTGGCATGTCCGTGGCATGTCCGTGGCGCTCCGTGCGTGTTCGTACTAATCTGTGCCAGACCGTTCTAATTCGTACTAACGGTAAACTAAATCGTAGCGAACCGCTGTGAATCTGCAGTACATACGCCGTGACACGTGTCATTCCGTACTAAACAGTACCGAACCATAGCAATCCGTATCACTCCCCGTTGTCAACTAGTCCCTATCCGTAATCAAACCGTGGTGCTTCCGTTGCGGACCACTCATATAGACTATACCGGGGTCATCCGTGAGTTTCCATCCGGAGTGGATCCGGCGAGACGATCCGAAAATGTGTGACCGGGGCATTAGAGCATGACTATGGTTGTCGGAGCAGCAAGTCACTTAGTATGAATTAGGTTAATGGAATTCTAAACAGCAAACCATGGAGTATGAATTACTACTGGTAAGAACGACCAAATACACTGACGTAATGAAGTTTATAAAGAAAAGATAAACAGGTATTACGCAAAAAATATTATTGAAGGAGACGCCGCCCTTTTGCAATTAAATAGCAGAATTCCACATAATGGTTATGCACATTTGCAGTGGTGATTTTTTTGTAAATCAAAGCATTCCGATAGGCTGGGCAATTGTTTAGAAACAATACCAAATTTTAAGATGTTCTGTTTGTTTGGGGAGTGGCATTGTTCGTAAGAAGCATTGCTATTAAAAACTACCGCATCGCGAGCTACGGATCACCCATGATCACACGGATTACTCCGACTTCAATACGGACTTGGTACGGATACCAAAGATTGGCTCATTCCCCGAGCACCAACTCTGGGGAATTAAAAGGAAGGTGTTTATATAGGAAATCCTGTGAAGTTTAGTTATATCCCGTTACAACTAAGAATGTCAACTCATTTTGTAGATATGATACTAAAGTCAATAATAAAATAGATAAAAAGTTTTTATTCATATATATTACTGTAATACACATTTAATACAGCACTAAGTAATAGAAAATAATCATTAAATATTAATATTTACATTGTATGAAACATAAAAATAACATAACATTATATGAAAAATAAAATTCCTTAATTTAAGCCACATTGATACTAATGTCAGCAATAAAATAAAGTTTCTATTCATACATATAACAGAAATACACATTTAATACAGCACTTAAAGTTAATTATTAAATATAAATATAAACAGTAAACCACTAAATGAAGCTGAAGTTTCTAGCACAAATCACATTCTCTATATATATCACTAAAGTATCTAGCACAAAACATTCTATCCAAGATGCAGAAACTGTGATGCTGAATCTGCGTATGTCATCAGGTCGATAGTTCCTGTCTGATAATAGTCTTTCGGTGGCCAGTCGTCTGTCGATGTTGGCGTATCTCTTCCTTCGAGATTGAGTAGTGCCTCCTGCATCTCTCTGGATCCGGTTGATGTCATTCATGTTCTGTATGTCTTTAAACGTCTGGATGATGGTGTAGATGTTGGGGTGGGCATGCAGTACTCTTTTCTTCAGGTTCCGTGCCAAGCTTCCAGATGGTTGGTAGTTCGAGGTCCTTCTGTAGAGAAGTGGTACCAGGTTGGTCGGTCTCCTTCTACCCATTGATCTGTGACGTAGTCTGTGAAAAGCAGCACGGGATGTGGTATGTCAGCATCATCAGCATCTTCAAGGGTTTGGAACCAGACGTCCTCTATGCGGTCTAACGGGATGAGTGGAAGAACAGCAGCTCGGCGGACAAGTAGTTTGACGTCGTCGTTCTCACGGTACAGTATCTGGAGTCCAGTTGACTGGGCCTTTCGCCAAATACATTGAGTGTAATGAAAAAAACAGCCTTTTATGTTAATACATTGTTTTGTACCAGGGACGACATTGCGGATTGCGTTGTGTGCGGCTACCTCAAAATCGACGAAGGCTGTTGTGGTTCGGAATGGAATCTGGGAGTTTGCCATGTGCTCCTGTAGTAGCGTGAAGAAACGGATGTAGATAGACTGCTCTTTCCTGGAAGTAGTACATAAACAACTGGGGTCATGATGACTTCGATCTGTACGTGGATGCTGTAAATCTGGTGAAACATAGTAGGACAGGTGTAGAAGGTGCCGTCACTGAAGATTACGTCGAAGGCTGCAAGTTCGGCCAGGTTCTCTGATGTAGCGAATGCGACCTTTCTGTTGTTCTGTTCACCGTCGTCGAAAAGGAGAAATGGTTCGCCTGTAGATGTTTTTATCCATCTTCTATCCAAGGTGATGTCGGTCAAGATCTCTGGTAGTGGAGGAGTCTGTTTGCGGCGAGCACGGTAGAGAAATGATGTGGCAGTGTAAAAGGTTGCAGTCGCTGGATCACGGTTTTGGAGGTGTCAACTCAGTCGTTGTCTCGGAGTTGGTTGAGTTCCTCGTCGAAGATGGAAGGTAGGGGTCTTATAGATTCTACGCAGCGGTTGGTGATCTGGTTCATTATCTGTTTTGCAACAACACTGGCTGGGTCTGCGGCGTGGTTGTGTTGATGTCTTCCGAAGTTTGCTGGTATGTTGAACAACCTGAGGTTGAACATCTCCAGAATGTTCTGTCGCCGTTTCTACGTATTTGTCTGTAGATGATCCATCATGGGACAGGTTCTGTCCGCCTCTTCTGTTGGTGATGAACTTAACGTTGAGCTGAGCGTTTACCATCTTGTAGTTGATGTATCAAAGTACACAATAACAAATAATAATATCAAACTGAAGTTACACAAGTTAGAACCTGAAAATAAGTACAAATTATATGACAATAATTATAAGAGAATTCACACAAATTTCACCGAGTAAAGAAGTTGATGTTTCCAAGTACAGAGCGAAATATGATAATTCTCCAAAATATGATCGGACCTCTAAATATTAATTATTATTTAGCAATGATTAGCAGTTATTGATTATCTGATTAGTTATCAGAAGTTGATTTACCGGCGCAATTTACCTGTACACCATTTCTGCAATAGACTATAACTCACTATCATCACAACTGACCACCTATGTAAACATGGGATTTTAAGCAGAGTTGGTCTTCAGGGAAGACCCCCCAGGATTGTGCCCGGTTTGCACCACCGTAACCCGGGGCTTTATACCGGCACAGTGTGGATGGGCTTAATTAACCCTATACATATTTTATTTATCACAATATTGTATGGATAAAAGTGATTATCTACGAACCATTTCTCCTTTTCGACGACGGTGAACAGAACAACAGAATGATTGCATTCGCTACATCAGAGAACCTGGCCGAACTTGCAGCCTCCGATGTAATCTTCAGTGACGGCACCTTCTACACCTGTCCTACTATATTTTACCAGATTTACGGCATTCACGTACAGATTGAAGGAATCATGACCCCAGTTGCATATGTACTACTTCCCGGAAAGAGCCAGGCTATCTACAACCGTTTCTTCACGCTACTACAGGAGCACATGGCAAACCTCCAGATTCCATTCCGACCCACAACAGCCTTCGTCGATTTTGAGGTAGCAGCACACAACGCCATCCGCAGTGTCGTCCATGGAATCAACATAAAAAGCTGTTTTTTCCATTACACTCAATGTATTTTGCGAAAGGCCAAGTCAACCGGACTCCAGACACTGTACTGCGAGAACGATGACGTCAAACTACTTGTCCACCGTGCTGCTGTTCTTCCACTCACCCCCTTTGACCGCATAGAAGACGTCTGGTTCCAAACCCTTGAAGATGCTGATACTGCTGACATACCACATCCCGTACTGCTTTTCACAGACTATGTCACAGAGCAATGGGTAGAAGGAGACCGACCAACCTGGAACCACTTCTCAACAGAAGGACTTCGGACTACCAACCATCTGGAAGCTTGGCACGGAAAACTAAGAAAAGAGTACTGCATGCCCATCCCAACATCTACACCATCATCCAGACGTTTAAGGACATGCAGAACGTGAATGACATCAGCCGGATCCAGAGAGATGAAGGAGGCACTACTCAACCCTGAAAGAAGAGATACGCCAACATCGACAGACGCCTGGACACCCTGAAAGACCGTTATCAGACTGGAACTATCGACCTGATGACCTACGCCGACTCAGCATCACAGCTTCTGCATCTGGGATAGAGTGTTTTGTGCTAGAGACTTAAGTGATATATATAGAGAACGTGATTTCTGCTAGATACCTCAGCTTCATTTAGTGGATTACTGTTTATATTCATGTTTAATTATTATCCTTTAGTGCTGTATTAAATGTGTATTACTGTTATATGCATGAATAGAAACTTTATCTTATTGCTGACATTAGTATCAATGTGGCTTGTATTAAGGAATTTTATTTTTCATATAATATAATGCTTTTTTTTTCATATAATGTAATGCTATTTTTTTTCATATAATGTAAATATCAATATTTAATGATTATTTTCTATTACTTAGTGCTGTATTAAATGTGTATTACAGTTATTATATGTATGAATAAAAACTTTCTATCCATTTTATTATTGACTTGAGTATCATATCTACAAAATGAGTTGACATTCTTAGTTGAAACAGGCTATAACTAAACTTCAAAGGATTTCCTATATAAACACCTTCCTTTGAATTTTCCAGAGTTGGTATTCGGGGAATGAGCCCTACGAGCTAAAAGCAAACAAGACACACATGTACAGTTTCAAACAAACAGAGTGAAAAAATAACACAATATACATAATGGCTATATAAATATTTTTTATACATTTTACAATCACTTTGATCCTGGTGAGATTTGTCTTCCTTCAAATTTAGAGAATTTACAGAAGTTTACAGAAAGAAAGTTATATAAAAAATGATGGAAATAAAATAAGATTTAATTGTCAATTTATTGTTTTTTTTATGAAACCAATTTACTCTAAATCATCTACACTTGGGACATCATTCCCAAGCCCGCAAGCGCCTGGATCATTACATGTCAGGTGCAACCAGAGATTATCGCCTGGATCGTTACATGTCAGGTGCAACCAGAGATTATCGCCTGGATCATTACATGTCAGGTGTAACCAGAGATTATCGCTTGGATCATTACATGTCAGGTGTAACCAGCGATTATCGCCTGGATCATTACATGTCAGGTGTAACCAGAGATTATCACCTGGATCATTACAAGTCAGGTGTAACTAGATATTATCGCCTGGATCATTACATGTCAGGTGTAACCATAGATTATCATTACATGTCAGGTGTAACCAGAGATTATCGCATGGATCATTACATGTCAGGTGTAACTAGATATTATCGCATGGATCATTACATGTCAGGTGCAACCAGAGATTATCGCATGGATCATTACATGTCATGTGCAACCAGAGATTATCGCATGGATCATTACATGTCAGGTGCAATCAGAGATTATCGCATGGATCATTACATGTCAGGTGTAACCAGAGATTATGGCATGGATCATTACATGTCAGGTGCAACCAGAGATTATCGCCTGGATCATTACATATCAGGTGCAACCAGAGATTATCGCATGGATCATTACATGTCAGGTGTAACCAGAGATTATCGCATGGATCATTTCATGTCAAGTGTAACCAGAGATTATCGCCTGGATCATTACATGTCAGGTGTTACCAGAGATTATCACCTGGATCATTACATGTCAGGTGTAACCAGATATTATCACCTGGATCATTACATGTCAGGTGTAACCAGAGATTATTGCATGGATCATTACATGTCAGGTGTAACCAGAGATTATCGACTGGATCATTACATGTCAGGTGCAACCAGAGATTATCGCATGGATCATTACATGTCAAGTGTAACCAGAGATTATCGCCTGGATCATTACATGTCAAGTGCAACCAGAGATTATCGCATGGATCATTACATGTCGGGTGCAACCAGAGATTATCGCATGGATCATTACATGTCAGGTGTAACCAGAGATTATCGCCTGGATCATTACATGTCTGGTGTAACCAGAGATTATCGCCTGGATCATTACATGTCAAGTGCAACCAGAGATTATCGCATGGATCATTAAATGTCAGGTGCAACCAAAGATTAACGCATGGATCATTACATGTCAGGTGTAACCAGAGATTATCACCTGGATCATTACATGCCAGGTGTAACCAGAGATTATCGCCTGGATGATTACATGTCAGGTGTAACCAGAGATTATCACCTGGATCATTACATGTCAGGTGTAACCAGAGATTATCGCAAGGATCATTACATTTCAGGTGTAACCATAGATTATCATTACATGTCAGGTGTAACCAGAGATTTTCGCCTGGATCATTACATGTCAGGTGTAACCAGAGATTATCGCCTGGATGATTACATGTCAGGTGTAACCAGAGATTATCGCATGGATCATTACATGTCAGGTGCAACCAGGGATTATCGCATGGATCAGTACATGTCAGGTGTAACCAGAGATTATCGCATGGATCATTTCATGTCAGGTGTAACCAGAGATTTTCGCCTGGATCATTACATGTCAGGTGTAACCAGAGATTATCGCCTGGATCATTACATGTCAGGTGCAACCAGAGATTATCGCATGGATCATTACATGTCAGGTGTAACCAAAGATTAACGCATGGATCATTACATGTCAGGTGTAACCAGAGATTATCACCTGGATCATTACAAGTCAGGTGTAACCAGGGATTATCGGATGGATCATTACATTTCAGGTGTAACCAGAGATTATCGCATGGATCATTACATGTCAGGTGCAACCAGAGATTATTGCATGGATCATACATGTCATGTGCAACCAGAGATTATCGCATGGATCATTACATGTCAGGTGTAACCAGAGATTATTGCATGGATCATTACATGTCAGGTGTAACCAGAGATTATCGCATGGATCATTACATGTCGGGTGCAACCAGAGATTATCGCCTGGATCATTACATGTCAGGTGTAACCAGAGATTATCGTCTGGATCATTACATGTCAGGTGTAACCAGATATTATCGCCTGGATCATTACATGTCAGGTGTAACCAGAGATTATTGCATGGATTATTACATGTCAGGTGTAACCAGGGATTATCATCATATGCCGTTCACAGATGCATTTTCTTAGGGATCTTGATATTTTACAAAACTCTTTTTTCATAGAGTAAGTGCACTGCATTTGTAAAAAAGATTTAGTCGACAGAGCGTAACTCGCTCGACAGCAAAAATTGTTATGAATTCCGGGTTGTTAACTGGTGTAGGCACGTGATATGCACATGTGAGGTCGGTACACAAAACACATCATGTACCTTCTTGAAGTCTTAAAAAAATTACACTGTTACCTAACAATTTTAACATGTTTCCAATTATGAAAGTTCACGAAGAAATTTTAAAGAATAGCAAAAAAATGAAAAGGGTCTTGGAGAAAAAGAAAATAGCTAATTGCAAAAGACAACCAAGGAATCTGAAACGTTTATTGTGCAAGTCCAAATTTGATGAGAAATAAATGTAAATTACAGCGTGACAAAGTGTATGAAACCGAGATGTGGAATATATATTATGATTGTTGAGTGTAACTCGTTGGTTTTTAAGAATGGCAACACATTTGAAATGAGATGGAATATGAATTGTAAATCAAGAAATGTAATATATGCTGTAATTTGTAAGAGATGCTCTGAATTTTACATAGGTCAAACTGGAAATGAACTACGTCAAAGAATGGCAGTCTACCGTCAGCAAACCAAAACTGATAGTTTACGAAAATTATTAGTTAACAAACATTTTCATCAGTGTTCAAATGATCAGTGTTTAGTTTTACCAATTACTATTGCAAGAGAGATAAAAGAGAACATGTTTATTAAAATTCTTAAACCGGGCTTGAACGAGGGAAATTTCGAGCACCTCTTATAAATTTTAAATTTACAAATTCCGTATGTTTAATATGTTCGGATGAACTAAGTATTGTGCTTTGAAATTCATTTTTACTATCAGATGTTTTTAACTTTTTCTATTGAACAATGTATTCATTTGAACATTTGTGACACGCTCCGTTTCCTTTTTCATATATTTCATTGACGCATTTAATGCAAGTACATTCATGTAATTTTGTTAAGACGTCGCAAAGGTCGAGGTCGCGCGCACCTTGAAGGACGGTTAAAACAGCGCTCCGCCAAAAAGGACTTTTATCGTCAGTTTTCGTATGGATTATCATTAGATTTTCATCATGGACACTTAAGAAGGTATTTTCTTTGCAATACTTGTCTTTCCAGTATATTCAACTGAAGGAAATGTGTATTTTGGAAACTTTTAAATATACAATGGACTAACACTACTCACGCGCGGTGACCACTACTTACCACGCATCACTATAGACGTATACCATAGCTAGGCGCTTGCCGGTATAGTGTGTATATATCTACTGTTTCAATAGATAGACCAGCATGGGTCCGAGTAAGACGAAAACTGTAACCGAAAGTTTGGATGAGTTATCAAAAAAACCTTGAAAACACTATTACAAAGGACTATCTTAACTCAATTGTGGCAAAGTTAAAGGACGAACTTCAGGCAGATATTCACCGGGAGAACGAAGAAATTGTTCATTCACTTAAAGGGAGAATTAACTCGCTCGAGTCTGAGAACGAGGACCTGAGGGAAAAGGTCACCATCCTCGAACAGAGAGTAACTGATTCAGAAGAATTCATCAGCGACCTTGGGCAGCAGCACAACGACCTTGAGCAGCATGGCCGTAAGAATTCGATCCGGATTAATGGACTGCCCGATCATTCTGAACGAGAATCAGTGGAGGATTGTGTAAGCATGATCGTGGACTTTGTCAATAATCGTCTGAAAGTGCCCCTACGATCAGACGACATTGACATCGCACATAGACTGGGGAGGTTTGACAACACCAAGAAGAGAAGCGTGATTGTTAAGTTCACAAATCGACGGAAGAAACACGAAATCATCAAGGCTCGTAGGACGCTGAAGGGATCCG